CCCGCAGGCCCGCCCGGGAGCCGCGATGCCTTTCTCCAGCTCCGGCGCGGACGATGCCTTCGACTACCTCTTCAAGATCATCCTGATCGGGGACTCCAACGTGGGGAAGACCTGCGTGGTGCACCGCTTCAAGACGGGGCAGTACAACGAGAAGCAGCAGAACACCATCGGCGTCGACTTCACCGTGCGCTCCATGGACATCGACGGCAAGAAAGTGAAGGTCGGTGGCCGCGGCGAGCCCCAGCCGCTCGGTGGGCAGCGCCTGCTGAAGGCAGCAGGCAAAAGCTGGCAGCCTTTCTGGCCGGGGGGGGCTCCGAGGGGAGCTTTCCCTCAGGAGGATGCCCTGCGGGAGGCTGTCACCCCAGTCTGGGTACGTGCTTGCTCTCGTGGCTTCTCTGGAGCTACCTGTGGAGAGGGCTCGCGCTTTTCCCCCAGAAAGTTCTTTGAAAGCTGGCTCTGGTTTGGAGGGGGTGTCTCTTCCCTCCTTCAGAGATGGGGGGGGTTGAGCTGGGACGTGAAGGAGGGAAAACCCTCTAGTATGCAAAGACTCTGCCTTGACGCGAGCTTGATTTGGGGGAAGGTGAAGATTTGCAAGACAAACGCCAGAAGAAATCGTTGGCTAGAACTTACCTCTGTGCGCAGACAAAAGTTCAGATGCCTGCCCTTTATAGAGCTTTGGTCTACCCAGCCCTGCATCAGGGCTTCTTGGCTCCTCTTCCTTTCCTGTTAAAAGGCTGTAATGCTTGGTATCTTCTGGTACAGTTGTTGAAACTGCGTTTCTTGGCCTCTTTGCAAAGCTGGGTTTACCCTTGCAGCTTTCTCTTTGCTCTGTGTAGACTGTCTTTACAGGCGTGTAAGTGTCTCTTCAGATCTAGAGGACAAAGCCACACTGTGGTGTAGTAGAGTAAGCTGGGACAGGTCTAGCCCCCTCTAGACAAGGGGTTTCAAAAGCATAATTGCTCATGGCAGATGCCTAGGAAGTCACATTCACTGGTCTTTACTACAACTTCTATCCTTTCTCTTACAGATTCAAGTGTGGGACACAGCTGGTCAAGAACGCTTCCGGACAATAACCCAGTCTTATTACAGGAGTGCCCATGGGGCCATCCTTGCCTATGACCTTACTAGGAGGTCTACATTTGAATCCATTCCTCACTGGATTCATGAAATTGAAAAGTATGGTGCCGCAAACTTGGTCATGATGTTAATTGGTAGGAATCTAATTTTAAATATTATGTTATGTAGCTTTTTTAATATGCATATAAAATCCCCCTTGCTTTCCCCCCCACTAGTTAAAGCATCTATAAACTATGCATTAAAGAACAATGCAGTTTTAATTAAAGGAGACCAGAAAGTGTATCATTTTGGCCTAAGCTTAAAAAATGAGGAAAGTCACAGCCTGGTCCTGACAGGACCAAGCCCACTGCAGACAGTGAAACCTTTTTACTTGTTCCTTTTCTGCTGGAATAATGCAACAAGCTTGCTGCTAGTCTAGCAAGCAGGGACAACCTTACTGAGGTTAGAATTGCAGTAACTCTGACCCTGTACTCCTGATGCGCAGGAATTTAGCGGCTCAATAATTCAAGACGAAGGGGAACGTACAGAGCAACACAACTCCTCATTCTCATCTTTCCTCTCTGTTCTTTTGATATGTATGCGCGTTGCTCTGTAATTGGACTCTGATCAGGTAAGATGGTAGATGAGGACATGGCTTTTCCAGAGCATGAAGTAGTCTGCTTGCATTCCTCCTCCTCCTCATTTATTCCACTAGCATTCAGGAAACTTTGCCTCTTGAGGAAAGAAATGGGTAGAAATTGTCGAGAATGGAGCTGGTAGGAAGCAATGTGGTTCTTTCCCTTTGTGTTTCAGGTTATTGTTGCTCTTCCCTCCTCCAAGGAGGAAGCTGCAAATGAGAGAACTGGTGTAGTATAATGACAGAGCCTTTATTTACATTCCACTGCTTCTGCCTGTTCCACTGTGGCACTGTGCTGAGAGCAATGCATGCAGCCGCACCAGCCCAGACTGGCTCTTGAGGATAGGCAACGTTGAGCCCCACAGCACAGAAGGCATGGGACCTAAGCTTCTGCTTGTGCTCCTAGCAAATTACTTAATTCTGCTGTGGTGGTTCTTCTTGTTCTTCCTCTGAAGAAACAAACAACAAATTCTGACCTGCATGTAACTGCAGTGCTTGGAATGAGTAAGAGGGGGAGGATCGCTAAGCTTTGGTAGGGTTTTTCCAACTTTTCTCATTAATCTGAAGAACAAGATCTATCTGTGTGTGTGGTGGAGGCTGTTGTTTGTTTGGTTGGTTTTTTTTTTTTTTAAGAAAGAAGTTCTGAAATTGGTAAAAATAAAGCTTTTGTCAAGGATCCAGCTTGGTGCTTTCTTCCAAAGCTGGTGCTGTTTGGTTTACTTTGGCAGGAAGCCTTTATATGTTTAATTACATGTAGTCATGTTATACCCTTCTAACACAAGGTTAAAGTTAACAAATCTAACTTTCCCTTCTGGAACTGAAGAAGGAAGGGGTGTGGGGGGGGGCTCTTTTTAAGGCGGCAAATAGCCCTCAAGCAAGGTGGGTTTTAGGGGGGGCTAGGGTTTTTTCCCTTTTAGAAAAACTGAAGGGGACTTAATGGGAGGGGAGTTGGCTTATACATGCTTCAAATTCCAGATCTGAATTTGATCAAGGGTTGTCTTGAAACTATGAATGTAGACTTCAGCCAGGTACTACATGTACCAGAACTGATGATAATTCCACACGTGCTGCAACTACTTAAATATACAAAGGTATTTTATCTGAGGTGTTTCATGACTTCTGGCAGATTTTGAGTAACCTGCTTCAATGAAAAGTTTAATATATATGTGCAGAAACTTTTTAAATAGAAGTTTTAAGCATTAAGGTAGCTGGTGTGAATTCTTATCTGTTTTGACGTCATCTTAAAATGACTGACTTGTATAAATAGGTTATGTTAAAATCTGATTTAACAGTTGAGCAGGTTCTTCCTGGGTTTTAGTGGTTTGGGTTTTTTTTGAGGAGATCTGCTTTAGACTAACAACATTCCAGGTCTTCAGAGCTGAGCATCCACTTTGAGATGTGTCAAGGTATCTTGACACTAACATAACATGTGTGGCTTCCACTGAAGGTTGGAAGTTGGAAGGATTGAGGAATAAATCTTCAAGCAATGCTGCTTTGGTTTACTGTGTGCAATCACTATAGCTACAAGTTTTCTATTTTTTTCTAAATATTTAACTTAAATGCTCCTTAATGTTTAAAAACACTAGGGAATAGGGACCAACAGTTGCTTCCAAATAATCCTCTGCCACCACTAACTACAGCAAGTAACTACATGAACACAGGTTTTTAGGTTTTGGATTTTAACTCATTTGATATCACATGATTAGCTGCAGTTTCAATTTGCATTCTATGTTTGTGGCTCTGATGTGCTCACATCTTGTTTTTTCTAGTAATTTTTGTTCCCAACATAAATCTATTGTTTAACAAAATTGAATGGATTGCATTTAAAGATTAATTTTTGAGAGACTAAATTACTGAATTACCTATTTACCTTCTTTTCAGGAAACAAATCAGATTCACTGGATAAGCGGCAAGTCCTGTTTGAAGATGCTTGCACACTGGCAGAGAAGCATGGGCTCTTAGCTGTACTGGAGACATCAGCAAAAGAAGCTCAAAACATAGAAGAGGTGTTCATGTTAATGGCTAAGGAGCTAATAGCCCGAAATACCTTACAGCTTCATGGAGACAACCCTCCAAACAGCATCTACCTTGATTCCAGGCCAGTGATTGCCAGTCCAAGTGTGGAGAAGACCCAGTGCCTCTGCTGAAGAGAGATTTCAGGAACTTGGAAGCTGTCATTCTTCTGAGGCTGTTTCATTTTATTCAATTCATGAAAGTGTGCTGTGTGGCCTCAAGCCACCTCTCTTGATACCTCTATCTTGCAGCTTGGCTTGTAAGTATCTTCAGAGATTGTCGTTGCTGTTGGTTGCACAGGTTGCTTTGAACATGGCAGCTGATGCTTTAACATGAACTTCTGAGCTGAGAGGACTCAGGAAGCTGCCAGCCCTTGCCTTAACCAAAGAGAATTGTAAAAATTATTGCCTTTAATAATATCCTTAAACAATTTTCTGGCTGTGTCAAGACAAACTTGCACCAGAGCTCTGCACTGATTTGACCCTTCTAAGCTGTTTGTTCTAGTGCAAGCTCTTAACTCTTTGCCAGTAGCTTTAAAAAGTCTGACACATGCTTGGACAGCACTAACCCATTGCTGCTTAAACTTTCATTCAGGGGTGGTCCCGATGTCAGGCATGTAGCCACCCATCCCAAGGAGCTTAATATTTGTGAAAGAGTACATGATTTCACATCTGTACTGACTTCCTCACCAGGCAAACCTGGAGACATCCCTGGGGTTTCATAGCAGGCAGAATATGATACACTAGGGTCCCAACCTTCTTCCTGGGGTGAAAAAAGTTGTCTTTCACTTTACTAATTATAAGATTTGTTTCCAGTAGTGATCTCTGCCTTCCTACATAGACTTGTTAGGAGTAATGAAGCTTCCAAGGCACCAGTAATGGCCTAAATCAATGCTGGGGTAAAAGGACTCCACCCCCCTCCACCCCCAAACTTGTCTTGCTTTTGATGTGCTGATTTTAATCAGAAGCCTTCTGTAGTTTGTGTGATGGACTAATGGCAGCTTGAGAGTATGCCTGTAGATTTTTTCAAGGGAGTGTGAAGAAGGGATTCAAGCTCCTGTAAAACTCGGCAAGGGGTAAGATGGTTTAATTATGTAACCTTGCCTTACAGCAATAAGGGAATGGTATGAGGCATACCAGAAAGCTAGCCCTAGGCAAGTATATATGCTACTGCTATGGAGACTGAACATCTTGGTAGCAGTAGAAGGTTTTGTATTGCTCCTCCCACATGCAAGCTCTGCTATTGGGGGCTCAATCTATGTACTGAACTGAATTGTTTGGTGTTTGGGGTTGGGGGTTTTCTTTTTTTCCAGTAGGTGGAAACAGGGAAGAAGGAGGAAAGAAATCTTATACAAAGGAAGTTTTTTGACTGCAATCTTTATGTACCAAAGTGCATCACTTAGTTACTGTTAAGCTATGAACTGGAACTCAAACTCTGTAATGATAAAATACAGTCTGGGTTACATGCAAAGAAGCCCTGAGAAGGCTGGTATGCTGCTAGCTTACCAGACGGCAGTCTACCCATGTTTCACAAGTTCTTGGAAAATAGGGAAAAACATGTAGAAAATATTTCTGGAAAATCTTTTCTGAGAAGCACAAAAAATAAAGCAGAATGAATCATTGATTTATAGTCTTGCAAATATTTCTAATATAATCAATGCTTCCTCTGGCCAGGTTCTTTGCTATCACATCCAAAGAGCAGGGGTTAATTCAGCTATATGTAAACTGAGGGAGAAATCTTCAATGCTAGCCTCTAAGCCTTTGCTATAGCCTGCTGTGGAGAAAGCTTCATCATCTTCAGGCATCTTCTTCCTGATGTTTACTTTTTAAATCTTAATTTCATCTTGATTTGGTACTAGCCTATAGTTGCATTTCAGTTTGCATATTTAAGCAACAGTAAACACCATAACCTTTCAGAGTAGCTGAACAAGTAGCAATCCAGCTTCCAAACAACTAGTTTCTACACCTTTTACCACTAGGAAAACAGCCAAATATAAGTTCAATATTCTTGTGTTTCAAATCCAAACTACCCCTGGTAGCAGTTTGTTTGTTGTTTTTTTTTTATCCACACTTAAACTGCTAGGAAACTGTGTTCTATTTCAGATATACCAGAGATGGTATTTGCAGCAAATACTAATCTTCCACGAGACCTTTACAGAAAAGTATTGTGTTCATCTCCCATTGTACTCTTTCATTAGCCAGGAACTGGAGGAAGGATCTTACCAGCAGAGCATTAACCTTTATATGGTTCATTGGGTTTACTGCCTTAATTAGAGATTACCATATGAAGCTATTTTGCTTACCCTCAGTATGGAGACTTCTGCAGGCTGATGCTCCTTTAACTGCCCAGCACTGCTGGGTTACAGGGCTGTGGCCATTCTCTTCCTGCACACACGGAGCTACTTGCGAAGCAAGTCCTTCCTTGGCAGAAAGCTGTGCAACACAGGATCAGGAAGAACAGGCTTGTGATTGTGCTTTGAGCTGTACTGTTCCCTTTCCTTTAACAGGTGTAACAGGCTCCTTTCTCACAAGAGTAGTAACTAGTCTTAAATACCTACTCGTTGTGCAACTAAACCATGTGACCTCTTTTGGTTGGTTCTGTCTGGCATCTTCACAAGCGCTTTGGGCAGTTCTACTGAATGGTTTCCATAGGGTCACTTTTCATTCACATGAGGACAGCTTAAAAAGCAAGCTGCAGCAGTTGCTAACAAGAAGGTTCTTCAAAGTGTCTATTAGTAGACAGTATTACTCATGAGGTAATACATGAAGAAAGGTATAAACTTAAAAAGCCTCCTTTATTATAGCATGTTATTCTAGGCTGCAAGAGAGCAACCACTAGGTTAAAAGCACAGTGTAACTTCTGCAGTTGTGCCTCTCCCCATCACAGAGCAGATGGAAGCATGCAGCTATGACAATGGAAGTAGCATTAACTGCTATGGAACATTATATTAATGTGTTTGTTCCTGCAACATCATATGCCAATTCAATGTGCTTCCTGACAGCATCACTAATGCACTTGTACAAAATGTAGCTTATTGTAATGTTGTTTACAATGCTATCCTAAAAACTACTACTGTCCCACAGTTTTAAAAGCTGCACATGCAGCTCAAAGACAGGCTCACTTGTTAAATTTTTATCTACTTGGAAGAAGTATTTGAATGTTAGCTGTGGCACATTACTTGCACTGGTATCACAGCCACACCAGGTGAGACTGAAGCAGCACCGGTCCATGTAACAGGGTAACAAAAAAAACAAACTAGAAGCATTTTAAAATGGAGCAAACTGACACCTCCCAGAAGCTGACAGGCTTAAAATCAAACATAAGTGCAACCCAGTGATGTGGAAGGCACATGGCACTGCCTGTGTGGTCAAGCTTTTTTTTCATACGTAACAGGGAGGCTCTTAACACAAGCTCATGTTCTTATCTAATCATTCCAGTTAATGTTTAAGTATAGTTGGAAATGAGACAGAGAAAGCATGCTCTATCCTGGAGCCTTCTTGCAGGAAGGAGATGCATGCCTGCACTTTTGGACAAGGAATTGAAACTGAAGCTTCCCCCAGCCAGGTGAGTGCTCTAACCACAGCACTCTTTAGAGCTGCCCCTTCCCAGCTGTGGGCTGCCAATAGGCAGATTTTTATACATCTTGGTTCCCAGCCACCACATTTGGCTGCAGGCAGGGGGGCTTTAAATACTCATTGCTCAACGCACTGACTCCTGAAGCCATTTTCAAGCACCTCTCAAGCAAGGGTGTTAAGGACTGGAACTACAACAGGCAATGCTGGGATATCATGAGTCCTCTGAGAGTAGTTTTAGATAGGCCAAGAGCCCCTTCTACCTAAGAGTACTTCAACTTTTAACAGGAACTTGCAGGTAGGACTTTTTAAAGCACTTCTAGTGCTGTTATTCTAAAAATCAACCTTGCCTTAACTGCCTGCACAGGCTCTGTCTAAGCAATCACATCAAGCTATTGCCAAACAGGTGTTGACTCTGGCTTGACTGCAAGTGACAAAGATCATACCCATGGATAAAAGCAACAGCAACAAGAAGGGGCAGAAATTTAGCATATTTGCAACCTCACATTTCCTTGCTCCAGCTGTGTCCATAAACATCACTGCATACTACAGTTTTCACTGCCAGGTCTGTCTAGTTTTTCTTACCTGAAGTGAGGCTCACCAAGTACAGTTTAAGAATGCCTCTCTAATGCTAGCACCAGAGTAAAACTGACTTTGTAGCAACCTGATCCCAACAGCGCAGTCCTGTACTGTATCTCTGTCCACATGAATTCCCTCATTTTACGCTGCTGCAACGTTAATAATTCCACCTATGCAAGTTTTGTTCCAAGCTTGAGACACCTCATACCTCACAGTATCCTCCAAACAGAAATCTATTTTGTACCTGCTGTAGCAGGAAAGAGTTACTTGTATTTCATTAAATGAACCAGGCATCCCCTCAGCAAGATTACAATACACCTTGGGTTACCATTGGGAAAGAGCTGTCCTATCAAGATTTGAACAAAAGCAACAGAGGTAGCAAGAAGCACTCTTTGCTTGTATGATCACATTCAGACCAATTAGAATGGGCAGCAGACACTTATTTTGCACTTACCACAAGATGCAAAATTTTATATCAAACCATATGTATATATTCTTGCATAGGGAGTAAAGTCAAGGCACTTAAAGCAAGAGCCTGTGTCAATTTCAAAACAATAGCCTTCAGAAAAAAAGATTTTGCTGGTGGGAGTCTATGGAGTCTTTATACCTTTTTCATCTTGACACTACTCTCATTGGCCTCTTCAGTTTCTGTACCTTGAGTATTTGCTTAAAGAAAACGTAGCACAGTCTAAGTCATCACCCCCCATATTTTTACATTTAAATCTACTGAATTTATTCCTGTTCTTACAGAGGAAAAACATAGCAGCCTACTAACATACTTCACTCATTTCAAAGGCCCTACTCTTTTCAGTCATTCCAGTTTGGGGTGGGGGATGTGGAAATCATAGTTCAACAGCAAGCTTAGAAACAGGCCTACCACCAGCAAGTGACACACAGCAGTACTGCTTGATGACAAATACATGCAGTTCTTTAACTTACAGAACAAGAACCACATCTCTTCAAAGCAAGACATCAACAGAAACTACTTGTCACACTTGAATACATCAGTCACTTTGTAGCTAGACAGAACAGCCTCCACCAAAGC